CTGAATTCAACAAATCAGCCACGAAACAGATCCACCCAGTTCTTTTCTAGATATCACCATAATATGTCACAATTTGCTGGTGAAGATTCTCATTCATCCAGGTCATAGTCAGTTGAATGGGAAAAAGCTTCCGGGATGGGAAGTGAAATGTCTTTAAACTTGAAAAACAAAATCAGTGGATTGTTTTTGAACATTTTTGGAATGAATATCACAATTCCCATTTCACTTTACAACAATAAACTCTTAGGATAAGCAATGTAATAAAATATTTCAGGCAGCGGATTCAGATACACAGTACCCTTTTATATTGGCATAAATCAGTCAAGCAATTTGGGTAGAGATTCTCTCTGTGAAAAGCTCTTCCAACCTTCTTTCCTTCTGTCATACATACAAATCACCACTGGTTTGGGGAAGAGGGACTGAAAGGGGAAGCTTTGTAAAATGGCTGACACTCAGCAGTCAAGACTAACAGTGGATGGTGGGGTGGGGTGTGGGGTGTTCAGTGCGCTCTAGAACGCTTCCCCAATTTCTACAATCTTTTGAAAGTAAGGTGGTAGGAACTCCCTCACTTCACAAATATTTGGGATCTTTAAAATCTATCATCCAAGCATGTATCATTTTCCTTCCAATTTGACATCATTACTTAAAACACTGCAGAAAAGTTCCACTTAACATGAACTGAAATCTGAGGTTATGACATTGAATAATGTCCTATCTAATTTTGAAGTGCTCTTAAAGTATTCCTATATCATTAAAGGGCCACCCTTCTTGAGGTAAACTGTGGGCTGTATCATGTGTGGCCCACATTGGAGCGTGTGATTGATTACATTTTTGTAGGAGCAACGTAGAACCCTCTTTGTATTTCCCCATCCCCCACTTTCCCGTTTTTGCTCCTCAGCTTGCTTGATGTATGGTCCTGGCTGATCACAAGGTTGATGATTTTAAGAAATCAATTTAAAAGCTGTTCCTGATTACTTTAAATGTTGGAGACAGGAGGGGAGTGCCTGCCAGCAGAGGTCGGTGTTGCTAAATCAATAAAATTTTATGACCTTGATAGAATCTGGAGTGGGGCCTCGCTTTTTTCAGTGTAGTCTTGTTTCTCTTATCTAACTGTATGATTCCACCCTAATAAATTGTTTGTTTTTCATTTTTGTCATACTGGCCTCTTTGTATTTTATAATATGTAATCTCATTCCAGTCAAAATTTTAGCCCAGAACCACAATAGATGTCCCTGCTATCACTAATATTGATATGCATAGTCAGAGAAGTAATCAGAACATATTAAATCACGAAGGCAACAGCAAACATATTCTTTTTTTCCCCTGTTTTGCTCAGCTAGAAGCCACTCAAACTGTCAGTTCTGTAATATTTGGAACTATTGAGAGCTACATGAACCACGTGACTATGAGTTAGCAGGGACAGAGAATGTCAGAATCTTACTTAAAAGGCGAAGGGGATGTTACTTTGTTTAAAAAGCCACCGGATAAGAGCTAAAAATCTGGCTAACCAGGGCTATCCAAATAGCAACTACCCCAACGGACAGAAATGCACCCTAAACACAGCGAGTGAGCGTCGTTTTTATAGAAGAGCAGACAAATAGATAGAACGTCCGCGATCACACCTGTGTTCTTACGTTTCTTAGTTATTAAATGCATAGTTGTGACTGATAATTGCACTATGTGATTGCTTAATACTCTGTTCTGGTTTTTGGCAGAAATTTGACAATATAGGGCCGTGGTATAAACACTGTGCACCTGAAATGCACAGCGGTGAACTCCGACGTGGTTAAATCGTGTTTCGTCTGAATGCACCTTTTTGGCCAAAACATTTTTTTAATATTGTGAATAAAGTCATATAAGAATAAAATTGTATTATTACCAGAGTAAAGTTGTAATAGGATAAGCAATTATCAAAATTGATTGGCTCAACCAGAATGGGGCCTCAGCCTGAGCCCAACATTTTAACACGGTGGGAAGACAGCTCTTAATTAAAATAGTTTCTTTTCGTCTTTATTCTTGGAATATGGGGGAAAAAATGTATAATGTTAAGGCTTATGTTTTGATTTTACTGTTGCAATGTTATTATTTGTCATAGAATTTATATCAGCATGCCTAAAATTTCTGGACATACTTGGCGCACGTCAACGTGCTTCAGCGTGCTCATAACTTATACAAAACTGACCCCTAACTTATCCAATGCATGCCAGTTTTTTTGCAAGGTTTTTCGTGCATCAGGCATACGCTGGCTAAATCGTCAACGTCCGACAATGGATTTGGGGTAGGAAACTGGAGTTCCCAAGGAAAACCCACACATGGACAGGGATAGGATAAAGCTTGCAGACGGTGCCTATTGAGGACTCGGGTAAAGTCAAGATTTGAAGCACTCAACTGAAAAAGTCCAGGTTCTGAGTATAAGTAGTGTTGTTGCCCAGCCTTGATGGCTCAAAAAAGTGTAAATCCACAAAGGCCACAGACGCACCATGGACTTATTTTATGCAGGCAAAAGAAAAAAATGTTCCAGGTAAACTCCTTTAGTTTTGTCAGTTGATTTTTCCTCAGGCAAGCAAACAAAAAGACAAACATTTCCTCCATGTTTCTCTTGCGCTGATAAAAACCATACGCCCACCAGGATGCATGCCGGTCCTATGATTGACTGCCTATTTATAATAAATAAGGAACCTAAATTAATCATAACTAACCAAAAATAAAGGAACATGACTAAATAACCAAAAAAACATTATCTCATAACAGATATTAAACAATAAAGTAAAATAAACTTGGCTAGATTATGCAAAAAAACATTTTTATTCATAACAAAAAATAATAGGCTCCTACAAGTAGGAATTAAATTCGTTGGATAAACACAGTAAGTGTTCCATTTGAAGCACTGCTACTGATATTCCCTT